GAGGGAGGGGGAGAGAGGGGGAGGGGGAGAGGAGGGGGAGAGGAAAGGAGAGGAGAGGGAAATAGAGGAGAGAAGAAGACAGGGGCAGGGAGAAGGAGAGGAGGAAGGAGAAGCAAAGGGAGAGGAGGGAAAGGAGGGGGGAAAAGGGAGGGAAGAGATGCAGGGGGAGGAGAGAAGAGGAGGAAGGAGGGATTGAGAGTGGAAGAAGAAGGAGCGTTTACAGAATGGGAGAGATATTTGCATTATTTGTTAAAAATAAAATATCCAAAATAGGAGCTGGGGAGAGGGCTCAGAGGTTAAGAGCACTGTCTGTTTTTCCAGAGGTCCTGAGTTCAATTCCCAGCACCAAAAGGTGGCTCACAACCATCTGTAATGAGATCTGGTGCTCTCTTCTGGCCTGCAGGTATACATGCAGACAGAACACTGTATACATAATAAATAAATAAATCTTTAAAAAAAATATCCAAAATATATAATAACTCTTGAAACCAAAACCAAAAACACAAACATTCTTCTCTTTAAAGTAGAGAAGATTGCTGGGTCTTGGTGGCACACACCTTTATCCCAGCACTCAGGAGGCAGAGGCAGGTGGATCTCTGTGAGTTCAAGACCAGCCTGGTCTACAGAGCAAGTTCCAGGACAGCCAGGGCTACACAGAGAAACCCTGTCTCAACAAACAAACAAACAAACAAACAACAACACCTTAAAAAATTAAGAGAAGATTTAGACAGGTATCTTCCCAAAGAGCTATAATAACAATACACAAAGATCTTCAACATCATTAATAATTTAGGGAAATGAAGAGCAAGCCACAATGAGGTGCCAACTCTCAAAATAATGGAGAGGAAAAAAAATACTGACAAGATTGCCAGAAATTGCAACCTCAGACAATGCCAGGAAAGTAAAATAGTTCAGTTCAGCCACTGTGAAAAACACACTGCCGGTTGCTACAAAGTTAAAGACAGAATCACCATGTAACCAACAATTCTATGCCCAGGTCCATGCCCAAGAAAACGAAAAAGAAGCCAATCAGAAACATTCCTAACAGTGCTACTGGCACAGCCAAGAGATGAAACTAGCCCACCTGTGTATGAGGGAAGGAATGATATGCAGGCCGTGGTAGCCCACCTGCCGCGGTGTAAACAGGGGTGGGGTGACAACATGCTAGAAGATGAATCAACTCGGGAAATGTAGTGTTCAATAAAAGACACGGGCCAAAGGGCCACACAGTGTATTCGTCCAGTTCTATCAAGGGTTTGGAGACTGGAAAACAGAAGAAGACCGGAGGCTGTTGGGGGCCAGGGTGACAGGGAGGAGGAACAGTTCATAGGTCTGAGATTTCCTTTTGGAAGAACTGTCTTATAAAGCGATATACCGCTGGCACTTGTGCATTGTCAACATATTTAACACTCCTGAACCATCCCCTTTAAAATGGCTCATTGGATGGGATTAAGACAGGGACTCAGAGGAGGCTTTTGCTCCAAAGCCCTGACTCTTCCCTCGGCCTGGCACTTGTCCAGTGAGGGGCCAAAGCAGGACAAATGACCCACAGCTCGGGCTCATGTTGCACCTGTTTCCTGCATGCTTGGAAACTCTGGGTCAGATTCGTGCTCAACTCTGCACGTTAACCACCCAAGGAAGGTCATCTGAAGCTGGTCCTTCTCCTCCACCCTGGCTAAAGACACCAAGAGAAGAGGAACCAAAGTATTTTCCAGAGTCGCTGGAACAACTGTAATGGCCAAGTCTCCAGGCAAAGCCATAACCCGCCAGGACACTGACACAGACAGAGCATCCCGACATGAGGGTGTGTCTCTCCACCCATGTGCCAAGTGGGAACAGTCATCTCGGGGACAAAAGTGCCTGCCCAAGCAGTGAAACTTACTTCCCAGATCCAGGAGCCGACAGAACCAGACACGGTTTGAGCAAGACTGTCTAGCTATGCATACCTCAGGCCCCTACCCATCCTTCCCTGTAATATGTGAGCCCACCCGAGGCTGCTGTCGGTACCTGACAAGCAGGTGGGCTGAGGAGGCTTTCCCCTGCCTTTCCCATGTAGTTACAGTGATTAACTCTTTTCTGGCCTTTCATCATTACATTTTCTGGAGTGGCTGGACATGAGTTGTTGGGACTCCCAGAAGCCAGGCCTCTATGGCTGAAATCTCCAATATTTTGTGATTTCCCCCCCCCCTATTATTTAGGGGGGAACACTTGGTAGTAGAGCCCAAGCAGGTGGTCCTGGTTTTAATCACTCGTACCCTAAGGAAATAAAGAAACAGTAGCCCAATAGAGCAACAGTTCTCAGGAAAAGGAGAACGCAGTATTGCAAGGCTTTTTTGTTGTTTGTGTATGTATGTGTCTGAGTTTATGTGCACTGAATGTACACAGGGACCTGCATAGAGAAGAGGGTGTCAGATTCCATGGACCTGGCATTCAAAGAACAATGGATCCCATAAGCTCAAGTTACAGGTGGTTGTGAGCCACGGGATGTGAGCGCAGGGAACTGAACCCTGGTCTTCTGCATGAACAGCGCATTCTCTTTACCACTGAGCCAATTCTCCAGCCCTGAGTGCACACTATTTTAAATGTGGGTTTAAGAAGATCGAGGACACCAGGAATCACAGCCCACAGATAACAACTAAGCAGGGCTCGTAGGGGCTCACAGAGACTGAAGCGCCAATCATGAGCCTGCCTGGGCCTGGGCTAAGTCCTCTGCATACAAGCTGTAGTTGTTTAGCTTGGGGTTTTGTGGGACTCCTAACAGTGGGAGTGGGGTGTCCCTGACTCTTTTGCCTGCTCTCGGGACCCTTTTCCTCCTAATGGGTTGCCTTGTTCAGCCTTGATGTGAGGGTTTGTGCCGAGTCTTACCACATCTTGTTATGCCATGTTCGGTTGACATCCCTGGGAAGGTTGCTCTTTTCTGAAGGAGAACGGAGGAGCAGTGAGTGGGTCTGGGAGATGGGACAGGATGGGACTGGGAGGAGGAGGAGAGGGAGGTGATGCAGTGGTCAGCATGTATTATATGAGAGAGAATAAATTTAAAAAAAAAAAAGATTTTTTGAGCTGGGTGTAGTAGCACATGTCTGTTAATTCCTGAACTGAGCATGTGAAAAAAGAAAGACGAGGAGTTCAAGACCCGCCCAAGCTAAATGACATCCTGTTTCCAAAAATAAAGAGTATCTCTTCTGGTCTGCCATCAGCTTTGTTAATTTCATGGCAACTGAGTCTCTCCTGAGCTGCCCAAAGAATAGCTTACCCTATGGACTTCCCTGCAAACTAGCACACTCTTTATAAACTGGAGAGGGCTTATGCTGGATGTGGAGTGGCAGTCTGTAACAGTAGCACTCGGACACCTAAGCAGGACGATTCTGAGTGTGGGGCCAACCTGCGTTCTGTGGTAATCTCTAATCAGTATGAGCTAGAGAATGAGACCCTGCCGCAAACAAAACAAAACAAAACAAAACAAAACGTATAGGGCTTTTTCTATCTTAACAGATATTGCACTATCTCCAGAACATACTTCGCACTAAACTAAATCTGAGGGCTGACCACGAGGCTCTGTGGTGCAGCACTCGCCGAGCCAAGCTCTAGATATACTCCCCAGAACTGCACACAAGCAAGTTCTGCCACGCACAAGGAC